AACGCACGCTGCGTCCACAGGACCAGACTAGAGCTAGTCCAAAGTCACCTCTCCTGAAAAGGGGCATGATGATGGATGAGAGATTCTCAGTACCAAGAGGTTTGCTCTACAGTTCTGTTCCTCTTATGGCACAGAGTTCACAAATGTGTAAATGTACAGCCATAGTCTCTTCCAGGATGTTTTTGTCCTTACTTAGGTAGGCTTAGATTCATGTCTTAGTACTTCCACAGGTCTTGATTAGCAGAATTCTGATGTGCTTGTTTATTGCCTTATCTTCCTCCTTTACAAATGTGCATTTTCCTAATCCCTGAAAGGAGGACAAGACATTTGTTTTATTGTTTGTTTACTTCCGTGTTAGCAACAGATCAGCAGTGAATAAGCATGGTTGACACGTTTCCTTCTTTGAGATGTCTGTTATGTATAGGATGTCAGCTTAGCTTACTCAGTGCTATTTGGCTTTGTGGTGGGGAAAAACCATTTCCGTTCTTGGCTTGAGGGAGTGCCTGTTTATAACTCGTGATGAGGATGACACTGGAATTGAAATAGCATCCCTGTCGGTAACATGGCATAGAGACTGCTAACCTCATCAGTTCTGCTAAGAGGAAGGACTTCCAAGCCCTCAGTAGCTCCATTCCAACAATGCTAGAGGAATCTGGTAGGTTTTATAGCGTCTGGAGCCAAGTTCATTAAAGTAAAATCTTCAAGGCAGAGATGGAGCTGACTTGAAACTCTTGAGTTGATGTAAATCGAGCTCTTTAATCAGTCTTCTTGTGGGACTGCAGCTGAAAGTCTGAGCTTCCTTGCGTCTGTACCATGGTATCACAACCTAAGAGCTCAGCTGACTCAGGATCTCAATGCTTGAATTTTTGGGGCATGATTCTTGCTGTATGTGTGATGTGTTAACTTCACGAACCAGTGCAAAAGATCAGCTGGATGATGGATTAGCTGCTGTCATCATCTCCTGCTGGATCAGGATCAGCAGGAGATGGCTGCTGTCCAGGGCATAATTTTTGAAGTCTCTGTTTCCAGGCTGCATTTTTGGCAAAGCTTCCAGATCCCTATTTCCAAACAAGTATGTAAATACACAGAATTACATAAGACATTGAGACTATAGCACCTTGACAAAACGGAGATTTTTCCTTGAAGTCAAAGCAACCAGGTGTGACCCTGAGCTACTTGATGTAACATCAAAGTTGGCCCTGCTTTGAGCAAGTGGGTAGGATCAGATGGATCTCCAAAGGTCCCTTCCAACATAAATTACTCTATTCTAGGATTCTATGATTAGTATATTCCTAACGAAAAATGGCAGCTTACTAATGAATTAGATTGTTGTACTTTTTTTTTTAAACTTATCATAGGTGATTTTGGTTTGATTATGCTCAAGAACTCTGTGGTATGCACAGTTAATACTGTCCATTGCAAATAATTGAAGCCTTTCTTTGAATTCGTTAAAGGGTAGCAGACAGAATTTTGTCATCCTTTTTGTCACACAAGTCTCAGAGAATATCAGCAGCCCATTGTACCAGTGGCTCTATCTCCCATTCCCCTACTGGGATGTTGGCTCTAGCTAGAGGGCAGACTTAACATATACTAATTTATTCCTGTGTGATTGCAGCTAATTAGGAGTTACCAGATCTCCATACCTGCTGTTCCAGAGAGATTTTTCCACTTGACATATTAGTTGGAAAAATTGTTAATGAATTTCTAGATATCATTAATTCAATAATGACTAATGCGATTAGAGTTCACTGGTGGACATTAATGGCACAATGGCTAAATGACAGAAACTGTGCTCTCTGTGTATGCTTAAATTTACTTTGACTGAAATGGAAGTTCCATTAGATGAGAGGGATCATAGTAAAAATTTGGAAAGCCCATTAAAGATTCATTACTACAGGAAAGAACATTCTGTTATATGGGCAAAGCTTGTTATGTCAGCAGTAATCTTTCACTGGGATTGTTCTTTTCCAAGCTATCTCAAATCCTATTGAAAAATTTGGTCAATACTTTCTAGCTAATGACAACCTCAGCATTTTTTATAGTACTCTGCAAAAAATGTGTGATCTATTCAGCAGATGATGTGATGAGTTCCAGTGTATTTTGTTCTGACAGAATTAGGATTTAATCTTCCAGCATTTTTGTCTGAGTATAACAATCTGGAAATGTTGGCCTAATTAGATTTTTGGGGTTGGTTTCTTAATTCAGCAGCTGAAAAATTTGTTGCACAAGAAAAAATGGTTAATTACTTAGAATAATTTTACATTTGTGATTTTTTTTTAGTATTTCCAGTATGCGTGACAGATCTTGTATTATGTGTGACGTGGGAAAATAAAGATGTGGATCATAGGAATTAACTGAGCTGTATTATTGTTCACAATTTATTCCTGAATTTTTAATTTCATTAAAGGCAGCATATATTTAAAGTCTAGAAGTAAGTGAAAGAACAACATGTAAAGGTGACTGGTGGGCCAGTTTTTACAGCTGCATAAATGAAAGATTGTGATAAGTCACTTCTTTGTCCCTAAGTACACTGAATTTAGGCACAGTTTAGCACTGCACACTTCCATATTGGAGATCATTCAGTGCTGTGTCCTGAGTAGTCCCAAGGCTGTCTGGAGACCAGAAGGGATGCTGTTGAACACCATGCAGTTCCTTCTGATTGACAAATGGTTTGAGTTCTCTCAGGTTGTAGAAATCCAAGGGGTTGCTAGGCGCTGTACATTGATATACACCATTCTGACTCCTCTCTTTCCAATCCATATAGTCATGTGTGGTCTATGTATATCACATGAACCATTCAGAATAAACAACTTCAAGGCGGAAGACTTGGACTTTTTTCTTCAAAATAGGCACAAAGAGCCGTCCAAACTAAAAACACCCAAGAACAGTTAAACAGTAAAATTCATCCTTATGAAATACCTTATGCCTTCTTTGCTCCCACTGAAGAGTTCCCTCAAACACTTTTTTGGAATGAAAGATTTCTGATATTTATCATGCTTAAAATGAAGGGAAGCCCAAGATACTGTTTTTATGAACCAGAATATAAAGCATAAAAATGAGTCTCTGTGACTAAAAGGGGATGCCTAACTTACGAGACTGTGATGTCCTAAGCCTGTTTTGGGGGTTGGGTTTTTTTATTATTATTTATATTACATGTGAGGATGAAGAGAGTCTATTTAAATGTTGATTGATGTAGACTGATGTTCCTCCTTTTCCTTCTTCAGGTTGATTAAAAGATCTAGGCAGTCTGCTTCTTTGTACCTTTTACATGAACGCTAATGGGTATTTCTCTAGGGAAAATGCATATCAAAAAAGTTAATAGATGATAGGTAGACTCCCAAGGAATTTACAAAACTAATACAGATTAGCCTGCAGAGAATTCCTGTCCTTGGTTTATTCCAAATGCATTCTCTTCAACTTGGTACAAAGTTTGGGAACTGGCATCTGCATCTTTGTGTAAGATTTGCTGCAGTCATTTTTCACCAGATGCCAAATAAAATACTCCAGTGATTTAGCTGATGTTTTGACACAGTGGTGTTTTTCAGTAGGCCCAGGCAAAAAAAAAGAGAAAAAACCAAACAAAACCAAAAAACCAAACCACACAAAAACCCCCAACCAAACAAAACAGATTTCCTATTTGAAGAAGACAGGAACCAGGATCTTGTTTGGGTGCGTTTTCTGTATGTTATAGATTTACAGAATTTTTTTTTCCCTGTGAAATCTGGGAAGATACATTTACTTTTTCACATGCTAAAGTTGTTCAGTGTTTTTCTGTAACTGACTTGGTTTGGAGATCACATGGAGTGCACAAAATAGTGAAAATTAGGAAACAACCTCTGAAAAAAAAGGAAAGATTTTTCACTTTGGGCTCCATTGCCAGCTTTAGGAACAGATATATATTAATACTTAGTATATATTCAGTCTGAACAAAACAGAAAAACTAGAATCCAGAACTTTGTCCTGGCAGTATAGCTTCTGAAAAGCAATTAGTAAATTATTTCTTTTTCCTACACAACCACATCTCTCTTTTTAATGAAAGAAAAATTTGATTTGTGGAGGTTAACATGATAAGATGGAAGCACTTAATACCTAGGAGATTCCCCCAGATCCATTCAAGCTGGCTACTTTTCAGTATAGCGTACCTTTACATACGCCTAAACTGTTTGAGCATTATCTGGTTCTGCCTACCAGTTGCCTTTGCATTTAACTGTAGATGGCTATGATATTCCTAAGGGGCTGGTCTAAGGCAAAGGCAACCTGTTTTCCTAAAATGCTCTACTGTATTTCACCTAAAGCAGATGGGCAGCACTGGCAATCTGCTGAAGCTTTTTAGAGAAGATGTAACAATTAACTGTTTTAAGGACTGTAACTCCATAATTACTGGCAGTTCCTACCTTTGCATCATCTTACTGTTAGAGTGCTTGTCCAAGAAGTAGGAAGTCCAGGTTTAATGATGAAGATTTAATTCTATCTGAGGAGTTGTGTTGGGTGCACCCCACACCTGTGCACAAGCTGGCCAAACCTTACGGTGAGGCAGTGCCTAACAGAGGCACCTGCACTAGGTGGGCTGTGTCGTGTACTTGTCGGTGCTAGGAGTTCATCCTGATGCAGCTGCACTGTTGGCTGAAGAATTGGTGAAAACAAGGCACTGTCCGTCTTTAGGTTTCTTTAAGTGATGCAGAGGCTTTACTCCCTTCTGTCAGCCAGAAAACAACCACTTTATTCCTAAGAAACAAGACAGAGGTTTGAACCATACTCTGTTTAAATGGGAAATATCACAGCTGGGTCATGCCCATTATAAAATATGTACAGAGGAAAGGCCGGTAGCCAACACTTCATTACTCTGTAGCTCTACATATTGTAATTTATTTTTCTGCCTTTTTTTTTTTCAAGATCTTGTAATAAATTGGTGCCAAATTTCAGTTGTAAAACGTTTAATTATTCTGTAGTAATTGTCAAGGGATTCATTGTAATAGCTATCTTTTTCTCTTTTCCTGTAGGTCTTCATTACTTCAAAAACATTGTGTTAGTAGGCTCTCTGCAGGATCGGTATGTTCCTTATCACTCTGCTCGGATTGAGATGTGTAAAACAGCTTTAAAGGATAAACAATCAGGTAATGTATGTCCTGCAAAATAAACAGCCCACTCAGGTTAAGCCTCCATAGGTCTCAGATTTACTTTTGAGTGCTTAACTGCGGCACCTCTCTTATGTGCTCAGACGCTCTGAGCTCACTCTGTAGTAACGGAGAGAGAACATCCCTGTGGGAGCCCAATCGCTTTCTGGATCTGTCCTCCTCTATTACATGCAGAAGGAGATGAGATTGAATACATTTCTAGCTTATAGACTTGGCTGAAAGTCAGGTGGGATGAACACAGACTCTGGTGTGTTACTCCATGAACAGGGAGGTGCAATAGCTTTTATTTTTGAGGACATCAAGTTGTAGTGTTGAGTGCATGGGCTGTATTTTTAGTTGAGGCTTAACACTAGTACTGAAAGAAAAGGTAGTTTTCCCATTTTCAGTCATGGTTTGTTGTTGTATTTACTGTTGAGACACAACAGCACAATGTATTCTAGCATTATATATTGACAGATAAATAACTTTTACATAGTGTAATAAATTAATACTGATGAGCACATTCTCACTATAAATGTACAGATACTAAAATGCATAGCTTAAAATTATTTTTCTGAGATTTTTGGGGAAATTAAACTTCCTGTATATTCTGTGTTAATAGAACAACAGCATAACATATAGCGTTACCTTTCTTATTCTGGAATGTATTCATTTTGAGTTCTGGGTCAAAAAACTGTTATTTGTTTCTGGTGATTCACACAGTACAACTTTTCTTTTCCTCTACAGGACCAATTTATGCTGAAATGATCCAGAACCTGCTTCTGCCAGTTCTTCAAAATAAGGACTGTAATTTGGTTCGTTATAATGTAATTAATGCATTACCCAATACAGCAGATTCTCTCATAGGGAGAGCTGCACATATTGCTGTTCTTGATTCAGAAATATTTTTAGAAAAATTCTTTCTTGTTGCTGCCCTAAAATACTTTCAGTAGAGAAAAGCATTGTAAGAGACTTGGTTATTACCTCATTAACAGATGAATCAAATAGTGTGTGGTATTAAAGTATAGCTGCAGCTGTATTTTAAGATATATTTATACTTTTTATATGGAAGATAATTTATATCATCCACACTTAGGGCTTTTTAACATCAACTTTACTTTCTAGGTAATGTGGCTGTGCAATATTTTTTTATTTTGTTCTTTTTACTTTTCTATTACTTAATTTTGGGTACCTAATTATTTGGAGATAAAGCACAGTGTGTACTTTTGGTTGGTTTATTATTGGCTCTTAGACTACAGAAGTCACTGCAACTTGGCTACGTTTTACAAGAGGCTTTAGATGCCAAAATAAATTGGATTTTAAAATTCAAATAAGGTCTTACATGTTCAGTTGTCGTATTTTAGCACTGTAGGAAGTTTAACTGGAAACACAATGAGCTGCTAAAATACTGGATAGTATAAATACTATTATCTCTGGGTCTTACAAGGACCGATACCAGATGTTGTTCAGATATCACTACAGCTTAACAGTTTTCTACAAGATCATTGTCATCATTGTTAAATATGTTATGCCTGTGGAATATATTTTCTACTGATCTCAAAAACATATTAGTTTACATACTCAATTTTATTACTGGAATTTTAGTTTTCAGAAGCAAATGGCAACTAAGGATTTTTGAATGTTTAATGATAGCTGCCTTCAAATAATTGGGATTTTGCAAACTGTATTAAAATTGCTCCTTACTCTGCCAGTTCTACAAATGAACGCGAACAGTTTTACATGGACTTCCTTGTATGTACGTAAAATAAGTAAATGTTATAAATTTCTGCAATACTTTTATGACTTTAAGCAATTTTTAAATATTGTTAAAATGTTTTATTGACTACAAAGTATTGTAAATATAAATCAATACATCTTCAAATGGGACGATATTGTAAACTTTACCTGTTTAGTGATACAGATAAAATGTTTTTGATATACAGGAATGTTAAAGGTCTATTGACTTTCTACTGGTGCTGAATAGCATTAAGTTTGGTTTCTCCTTCCTTCCCTTTTCTGTTTCAAACAATAATTCACTAAAGGTGAAAGGTGTGAGGGGGGCAGGAGTTACATGTGCATTCACTAACTGTAATGAACATTTTTTGAAAAATATAAATTTGTTGTATAATGCATGTTTATTTTTAGCAAAAGGTGTGGGGGGGGCAGGAGTTACATGTGCATTCACTCACTAACTGTAATGAACATTTTTTGAAAAATATAAATTTGTTGTATAATGCATGTTTATTTTTAGCATTGTGTTATTGCATCTGGTGTTAATAAAATGAACAAATGACTCTAACAGAAGCAATTAAAGGAACTGAAATGTCCTGCTAATTACCAAAATTCTGGGGAGGCTTTTTTTGTATATAATTAATGATTTTGTATTATTTGAAATTAATATAGCAATAATAGTTCATAATGAAGTTATTTTGCATTTGGTTTGTTAATACCTTCTTTTATAATAGATTTTCTTCTCTGTAGCTTACAAGTTTCAGATGACCACCGGCAGTTTGGCAATGTACACACTTACAAGAGAGTTTTATTATAATTGTGTTAAGCAAGTCCTTACAGCACAAAGATATCTTAAACACATTCCCATTATGACAATACCTACTTTAATTAATAATCTTTTTACATTATGATAGTGCTAGTATGTTGTAAAAGACCCCAGGCCTGGACACAGCACTGCAGATGGGGCCTCACAAGAGCCGAGTAGAGGGGGACAATCCCCTCCCTCTCCTGGCTGGCCACCCCTTTTTTAATGGCACCCAGGAACTCGCAGGTAGGCACACACTGCTGGCTCGTGTCCAGCTTCTCATCCACCAGGACCCCCAAGTCCTTCTCTGCAGGGCTGCTCTCAAGGAGTTCTTCTCCCAATCTGTACAAGTACCTGGGATTGCCCCGGCCCAAGAGCAACACCTTGCACTTGGCCTTGTTGAACCTCATTAGATTCTCCTGGGCCCACTCCTCCAGCCTGTCCAGGTCCCTCTGGATGGCATCCCTTCCCTCTCTTGTATCAGCTGCACCCCTCAGCTTGGTGTCATCTGCAAATTTGCTGAGGGTGCACTAGATACCCTCATCTATGTCATTGATAAAGATGCTGAAGAGCAGTGGTCCCAAGACAGACCCTTGAGGGACACCACTGGTGACCGGTCTATCCAGACATAGAGCCTAATATCACAAATAATGTGATTTTTGCATGTATGTTTATCAAGAAGCAGGGCAAATGAAGAGAATATTAACCTCTTCTTCTCTCCACTGATTTGTATGGCCCAGTGCAGTCCGTATATAGCCTTCTCGGTACTGTAGCTTTTGTGGGGCCTGTTTGACACCTTGAAGTCCAAAAGGAATGGCCGCTAGCTGTGTGCTGTAAGAGAGTAGTGAGTTGCATGGCATATTCCCCCTACTCCCGCATATGCCTGCCTTCCATTTATCGGGTAGAAATATGGACTCTTACATAACTGAATGTCATCTGATGCAGTAGCAGCTATAAAGTGCTCCATCTTACCCCTCTTCTGTTTGCATCAGGACTTCATGTTCCTGCAGTGATAGTGACCTCTCCTTTATGCAGGTATCCTACAGCTGCTTGAAAGAGGATTATGCTGCTTAGAGACTGAGAGATAAAAATTAAGGTCTCAACATTCCTTTAGAAAGCTGCCAATCTCTTGCTCCCTGAAGACAGTAGGCTGCTACTGTTATTTCACAAAGCTCGCAGTGGTATTACTAGCAGGTCACTGCATAAAATGGGAGTGGCTGAACTTTTGTTTACATGTAGTCTGTATAAATTAATTCCTTGTTTTGTGTTTGAATCTTCCATCAAAATTAAACTTTCTGATCCTATAGATCTAGGAACTGCTACTAATTTGGAAAAAGTGGAAATTTTCAGGCTTTGCAGCAGAGCCAAGAGATTCCATGTTGATGGAAAACTTACTCTGTAACCACAAAACACCCTTCTTTTCAAGCCAATTTTATTTGCACAGCCCTGACCCATGTGCTGTTCAGATAACCAAGCTTCTTGACATGGTCAGGAGGAAGAGGAGGCGTTTAGGCAGAATTAGCACACATGCTGCCTGGGGCAGTGCTAGCTGTGGTGCTTTCCACGTAGTCCCCATGGCCAGCTTGTATTCAGCTCATCTGAATTGACCTGCTGCAGAGTTTGTGCTGGCTCCAAGTCTTCTGCTGAACAGCAAAGCAAAATCCAGTATTGTTTGAGTCTGCGCAGGGCAACCTGCAGTATGAGATATAAATGATCAGTAAACAGGGAGGAAAACAAAACAACAACAACAAAAAGAAAACATTGAATTTAATCCCAAGGTGGAAAATTCCTTGTGGTTACCAGTGTTCAGATTTATTACCTTCTCAGCCACAAGATCTAGAAAGACATACTTTAGGAGTTAAAAGTTAATTTTGCAATACAATACAATAAATTAAGACTAGGAAAAAATGTTTTGAAGACCTCAGCTTATTTAAGAACAGTTCATAATTAACCTTAGGTTGCTGTTTCATCCTTACTATTTGAGATGGCATATCAGCAGGGATCTGTGTTAGGCTGTTAAGGAACACTGTTACGGGGTTCCTGCAGACAGCTTGTTACGAGTCTTTTTAAGGGCAGGACTTCATCATAGTTTTCACTGTATTGAGCACCTGCATGATAAGTTTTTGAACTTGGCATAGATCTGGGGTTTTTTTCTTGCTGCTTTTGGGCACCATTTTTTTTCTGCGTGAGCCACCAATATTCTTCTTTATTCTCCCTGATCCAGAGGCCCAGCATCTCGTTTTAATAAAGAACAGGGTTTTCCATTATTTTTGGTCTCTGCTGTCCAGTTAACCGTGTTCTAAAAAGCTGACTGAGAAGATGTCACACCTAAGGCAGGCAGTCCCGTGTCATCACTCGCAGCGTGCAGGCGGTGCCAGATGCAGTGCAGTAAACTCAGGGGAGCATTGCTGCTGTTAATTTTCCAGGGTTTACTTCCTTAAACTCCTCAGATGTAACACAAAAGTGCTGCTTTCTCTACAGGAATGGCTGGAGGAAAGTTATCTGCTGCGCTGTAGCGTCTGTGCGCAGAGCGTTTTGACTTCGGTTTGACGGCAGAACAAGGTGCTGTGGGGAAAAGTGACGAACGCAAACGCTGCCGTGTT